CCCCAAAACCCCAAAACCCCATTCGTTTACGTCAAGCTATAATTTGATGACACGATCATTTAATTATAATTAAAATAATGGAATTTTACAATTAGGGATAACCTTATCAACCGAAGTAAAATAAGATTCAGGTTGCTCCACTCGGACCAATGCCTGATTTTCTAATAAAGACTTAAGTACAAAAGCTAAATCCCCAATTTATACTTAACAATGAGAATGAATAAGAATAGGATTAGAATCAAGTTTACAAATTTAAATATTAATATCCAGTCTTTGAGGATGAAAATAATTTCAATGATCATTTGCAATTAAATGTCTTGCCTCTAAAGTATGATTGTTCATTCATAATTGAAATATAGAAATGATATTGACAAGGTAATTGATTCAGATATAAGTCATCTATTCTTCAGCATGAATAGAGATAAATAAGTAGAGGCACTTATTTCTATGAAAGCCTTCTTAAAATATTGTAAATCATCAAGTTTTGGTTTAAAATTTTAATAGAGAAATCATAGCCAAGTTGGTTCATAATATATTCAGAGGACTTCTCAATCAAAAGGTTACTTTTGGGATTGGTAAATACAAATCTGGAATAGCAAGATAAAATCTATTTGAATCCAATGCTCTATCAATAGTTTAAAAGTGAGGGCAAAGTTTTTATAGAACCTTTGAGGAGTGAGATATCTTTTAATCAGAATTAAAGTATCATTGATTTTCATGCAAGTAATCATCTGCTTGCTACAAAGATCAGATTATAATATATTACAGAAATCTCAGAGAACGTAAGTACTTAAACTTAGATTAATGGAAACGAAAACTTAAATGAATTAGCATTCGCATATTTTAAGTAAAATCCTAAAGTGATTCAGATTAATGATTTAATTTCAATGCAAAAGGATGAAGGCTATATTATTCTTAAGGTAATCGAGATAGAATATAAAGAAAATGTAAAGCAACTCTATTCTAAAGTGCTTGATCTTAAAGAGCCACAGATAGATAAATATCTTTCCAAATTAGATCATCAAATTGCAAATGAGATCTCATTTAATAAATACTTTGGATATCTCGCTCACCATTCAGCTCTAACTTCAGTTGAAATCATTCACACAAGCAATACTGATAAAATTGAAATGCCTAGATATTTTTTCAGAAATCTAAATAAGATTTGCATTCTAAGAAAGTATCAAATTTTTAAGAAAACTAGAATAGAGTTGAATTAGTCTTTGCATTGCTAATCAGGAGAATCAAGAAAGATTAATATGATTCATTTATTTGGTTAATCTGGATGTGGTAAGACAACCATGCTTAGGGATTTAGCAGATAAAAATGGAATTCTTTATAAAGCTTTTGACTGTTTAGATTATTACAACATTATTCAGTTGAAGAAATTGATTACCGAAATTATTTATGATTTATCTATTCCTTTCAAGGGGGTATTGATTGAGCTTAATAACTTTGATTAATATAAGCTCTTGATTGATTAATTTTCATAAGGTGGCAGCAAGTCGAAAAGAGATCTTACTGAGATGAGATTTTCTTAGGCTTTTGAAGAATCATTAAACGAACTATAAAGCAAGATAAGTGATTAAACTTAAATTACTCTAGTCTTCCCTACTTAGAAGAAATCAGATATAAGTGATATATTTGCCAAACTGATCAGAAATAAAATACAAATCCTAAACCCTGAGAAGTAGGATAGAGATGCTATAGTAAGATGGATGCTTGAATTTGATTCAAAGTTAAAACTTGATATAGAGATAATTTTGAAGTTAAATATCAATGAGATTGCAAAATATCTCCAGGGTAAAACTGTTAAGGAGATTAGGAACACTTTGATAAAGATTTTGAAGAGCAGAAATGAGCTTAATAATGATATATTGATGAAAAGGTTATAAGATTTGGAAAAATAAAGAAAGGCTTTCGGTGAAAAATCTGTTAGAATACCAGAAGTTAAATGGGCCGATGTTGGAGGACTAGCAAACGCAAAAGAAGATATACTGTAAACTATTATGTTGCCTATTGAGAAACCACATTTATTCAAAAGTATGCTTGAGATGAATTTAATATAACTCTATAGATGGAATCGCCTAAAGATCTGGTTTATTATTTTATGGGCCACCTGGCACAGGAAAAACATTACTAGCCAAGGCTATTGCTACCGAGTGTCAAATGAATTTCATATCAGTTAAGGGGCCAGAGCTATTGAATATGTATGTTGGTGAGTCTGAAAAGAATGTAAGAGAAGTATTTGAAAGAGCAAGAGAAAATCTGCCATGTATTATATTCTTCGATGAGTTGGACTCATTAGCACCAGCTAGGGGTAAAGGAGCGGATTCAAGTTAAGTTATGGACAGAATTGTAGCTCAGCTATTAACAGAAATAGATGGACTTGGCAAAAAGGGTGGAATGTTTGTGATAGGTGCTACTAATAGGCCTGATCTACTTGATAGTGCATTATTAAGGACAGGAAGGTTTGATAAAATGATATATCTTGGTGTAGCCAAAACCTCTGAGGAGAGAGTGAAAATTATTCAAGCTTAGACAAGAAATCTAAAACTAGAGGAAGGCATTGATCTTAATCTAATAGTCTAAAATATCCCAGAAAACTTTACTGGCGCTGATTTTAGTGCTCTAACAACTGAATCCTATATGATTGCAGTCAAAGAAAAGATTGAAGATTTGGAAGTTAGCATTAAAATATTTAAGCAAGAAAATAATATCCCAGATTAGGATGAAATCTTACCTGAAACTTATCTTAAGTTGAAGTATGGAGATGATAAAATTGCTTAAGACAGAGAAGCTTAAATCTTAATTAAATAGGATCATATGATTAGAGCTCTATCTAAAATTACACCCTCAATATCTTTAGAGGAGCTGAGAAAGTATGAGGAATTAAGAGATAAATATACTGCTAGTGAAAGCTGATTATACCAAATTAATTTGATTTAAAGAATGTAGATATCAATATCCATATTAGATATTAAACTATGGGGTTTTGGGGTTTTGGGGTTTTGGGG